ATTCTGTAATTCTGTGTGGTCCAGGCAAGGGCAAAGACTGATACTCTGTAACCTCTCTGGACCCAGGTCCAATATTCAACCACACTCATTACTTTTTTTTTTCCTTCTAAGAACTTCCTGTGTTCCAACTTGTGTCTACAACCTCCTGTACACATTTACCATACCTTCAAGAGTCCAGCTTTACCTTCTTGACACCCTCCCTACACCCTCTCATTATGTAGCTTTAAACAGTACTGAGGTCAATCCCCAGCTTTGTCTTCTCCAGACTGAACAAGCCCAGCTCCCTCAGTCTCTACTCAGAGATCCTGTGCTTCAGTCCCTTGAGCTATTCAGTAGCTCCCCACTGAACTGGTGCCAAAAATCTTACAACATCTTCCTTGCACTGGAAAGCTCAAAACTGGACACAGGACTCCCAATGCAGCCTCACAAGTGACAAATGTATTCAAATAAAGGGAAAGAATGACAGAAAGATTTGAATATGGAAGTTTGGTAAATGATTTCTCAAACAAGTACTCAAGATATCAAGTATATAACTTGCCCTTCCCCCATCTTTTTAAAAAAACTTGTTTCAGTTTTTAACTGACCTGGTTTCTCTTGGGATTGTATCATTGATGACACTCCATATCTTTCCTTAGCATAATCCTAAAGTGGAAGTGAGAAACACATATCAAAGAAGCATACACAAAAATATGAACAAAATCATTACAGAGTTACTTGAGGAAATACAATTAGCTATAATATTAAAGATATTATCTTCTAGACTCTTAAGATTGAAACACACAAGTGAGAGAACTGTGCTCTGTAAGAAAAATCAACAGAAAACACACATTAGGATCATTATTTGCTACACAGAAGTTCGTGTGAACATCTCTGTAAAAAGCCTACTCCTGAGAGGGTATATGAGTCCAACAGAAGTAGATCCATGGCTAAGAATTTCCTTCCCATACTTAGGCACACTAAAAAGGCCAGATCACATGTCATTATGACAGCCAAAGCAAGCTTGTCTGGCTACCAGCAGAATCTGTTGGGTATGACACAGCAGGATTTGTTTTCAAAGAGATCACAATTCTAGTTTCCCAAACAAGCCCACTCATTTCCACTCATTTTTAAATTTTATTCTAGTCATCATATGGACATTTACTGGGGGCAGGGGATGTCCTCCTTTCTCTGCTTTTGAAGAATCAAGGCTGATGTATAACTTTACAGCCACCTATACTCAGAATTCCTTACTCCTGATGCATTTTTGGCCTTTCAGCAAGTAAAACTGATTTTATAACAAAATGATCTGATGATCTTTTTTTTTTCCTTCTTAAAGAAATACCAGCCTAGAATTGTCCAGCACTGATCTGTGATCTTCAAGTATGTGACATAAACACCTGCCAGGCCAGTGGTGCCCCTGCAGAAGCGGCCTCCTAGGGAGCAGAACCCCAGGTGTTTCTGTAGGAGGCTGCACAGCAGGGCACTGGGTCAGGGCTGGGCTGTTTCCCTGGCTCTAGCAGGGCCTCCTCCACCCGCACACGCGGGGATCAGTCCCAGAGGGGCTGGGGACACGATGTGTGACCGGGCACGGGCAGACCTCTTCAGTGAAGCACCAACCGACCGGGCCCACAGGAGGTGGGCAAGCAGGCTAAAACC